CAGTTGTTATTGTTTTCTATATCGGGTTCTCACTCTTCTTCCTGGCTACCTCACCAACACCTTGGCGTTCCCTGCCCCTCTGCCATTCCCTCATCTGAGTTAGTTCGGTTGTCTTCCTCTGTTCTTTCCGGGAATTTGTATAGTCTCTTTACGTGACGCAACAGTGCGTCTGGCGCCCAGTCGGCAAATTTCGGTATCGCGTCCCGGGGGGAATAGAGCATTAAATTTGTGGCGTAAAACGCGTCGGGATAGCTGCGTCTCGGCGAGTAGACTTTGGGGTTAGATTCCGCTTTAGTCTCAGTTTTATATCACTGGCGAATAAGTTAAAGTATAAAATTTGCGTGACAATATATATATATTTGGCTGTTTGTTACGATTGAAACGATTTATCCGATTTTACTTGATTTTCGACGGATAACGCTGCCATAAAAGAATCGTAATTTTTTCCGCCGACTCAGCTGTTTTGCATGGTCACGTTTTAAAACATAGTCCACTGGTTTGAAATTAATATCGCAACGCCTGTAAGACGGGCACGGGCTAGATGTACCCTGCTTTAGTTCGTATTACGACGTCCTGGTAGACAGACTGATCACCTACAGCAATCAAAAGTTTTAAAAAAAATGTCATCTGTAACACATATTCGCGAATGTATTGTCGATTTTGTAAAGACCCGGCGTCTGATAACACCTATAAACGCGAGATTATTCTCGCCGGTGTGGTGCAGAGAATTAAGATATTTTGGTTTACGCACGTTAACTCGTAGATTGAAAAGTGTATTTGCCCATTGCACTCTTCGCGTGCTAGCCAGGGGTCACGAGAGAGGGTATTTTAGAAACGATCCGTACATACTCTCGTTAGCCGTAGCGTGTATTAACAAACGGGGAGTGCGCGATAACCGTATCACCAGGGCTATTATAGCTGATCATGCGTTCCACGAAGGTATGTATTTTCCACTTATCGGTAATATTGCTTAAATAAACTGCTTTTTAAAACTAAATAAATTTTACAAGAATTGATGCGATTTCACAACAACGACGCACCCGAGGAGGAGCATCTGTTGCTTTTAGGGTGCCTCAATTGTGTAGAGGAGGAGATTTACCCGGAGCCAAGCACCAGTACAGCGATGATGATGGAGTACGCTAACGGTAAAGCATGTACTTTTAAACAAAAAAGTCTACGGCTAATATACGTTTTATTTAAAAAAAAAAGTGCCAGGACCAGCGACAACGCTGAGCACACAAACGGCTGAAGAAGAAGAAGAAGAAGAAACACATTACGGCACATGGGGTATGTGTCATACAGCGTCGAAAAGAAAAAAAAAATGAGTTGTGCTATTCATACATTTTTACACATGCATTCATGGCTATAACGTCGGATGCCAGCGAAGACGACGACGACCAGGATGATGTCGACAACCGCTCCACCGCTTCCAGCAATTCTAATGAGCACAACTCAGGTAATAATGATAAAGTACAGAAGCCGCTCAAAATGTATTTGTGTGAAAATAAAAAAGTACAAAATTGTAGATTCGCTCGATGCGGCAATAGCCAACGATAGTCACGAACCTATTGTACAGGGTGACCTGCTACCACTGCAGGATCAGGACAATACTGAAGAACCGATAATATGAGTTCTTAGGAACGGTGTGTACGTAGAGGCGGATGCCGACGAGGCTGCTGAAGTATTAGCAGACCTCGATGATGATGATGATGATGATGATGATGATGAGAATCCAAACGACGCGGATACCTACGAAGAAGGTAGCGTATAAAGTTATGTTCCTTAGCAGTGAACGCTTTTTTTGTCGAAATTGCTAACTTTAAAAAAAATGTAGGGGGTGATGAATACCAGTTAGACGCACTATTCTCATACATAGGGTCAGTGTTTAATCCTCGCGAGGAATGAGAAGTTAGTATGCGCTTAACGTTTCTTTTTTTGTTTAACAAGTAAAAATAAAAACTTTTTTTTTCCCAAACGTTAGATGCAGAGGACGATGGGGTATGTCGGCAGATCGGTGGTGGCCCCATTCTTCGACCACAGAGCGACGACGATGACGCCGACGGAGATTTCAATAACGACGTGCTACCACCTGGATATAGATTTACAATAGAATCCGAAACGACACGTCGTATAAATAGGTTAGGCATTTCAAATATATAGGTCTTTTGTCATCGAGTCATGTATAGTCGAAGTACCGCGGGGTACAGGACGCGTGCGATTAGCGCACGAATTTGTAAAAAAACATTCTATACTGACTATAGCGAATAACGATAAACCTCACAAGCTCTTGTACCGCGCGGGACTATATAGGTCTAACGATCAAATCCGACAGTTTTGCGTGCGGGGCAGTGTGGCTGTCATACAGACCGGCTTGAGAGCTTCTCGAAAACAATGTGTGGGGAGTGATTTCGTTTCGATAGATAGGTCTTTTGTCATCGAGTCATGTATAGTCGAAGTACCACGGG